TGTGCCTCCAGTTGATCCCTCAGCTTCCAACCTACTCCCTCTGGAGACCATTCTTCACACAGCAGCCAGCATGATCTTGTCAAATCAAAAATCTCATCCAGTCACTCTCTTCTCATGACCCTTAGGTGACTTCCCACTGCTTACAAATGGAATTCTGGCTCTTTATTGTAACCAATATAAGGCCCTGCCATAGTCTCATCTCCTATGTAAGTGTCCTGGTTTACCACGCTCTAGTCACACTGGCTTATCTGTCCCCTCAACACAAAAGTGCTTTCTGCCTTGCTCTTACTTAACAGTTCTTCTGCCTAAACCACTCTTCAGCCAGAACTTCACACAGACACTTCCCAGAATTTAGCTCAACCTCTCAAGTGTCAGCTCAAGAGTAACCTCAGAAATGGCCTCCCTGAACCCTCCAGCTAAAGAAGTCGCTGCCACTCCCTAACCACTCTCTCTCTCATCTCCCTGCTTTATCTTCTCCATTATGCCTCTGTAATTACTCCTTTGTTCACATTTACTTCTTATTGTCTATCTCCCTCCATTAGAGTGCAACCACCCTCTATAAGTGCGAGACCACAGCTATTTTTTTACCCTGATATCTCTGGTACTTGGTACAAATCCTACCATCCTAGGGAGGAGATACATATTTGTTGAATTAATGAATGAAACAACAGCTTTTTTTTTAATTGTTACTTTGCTACTGGTGAAATCCTGCATTCCCCTTCACTTTGAATATTTTATATCTATACCTTCCTCCTATTTGCTAAGCCATATCTACATAATAAAGGCATATTAGCCTGCATTATCAGTACTCAGCCTGAGGAAAGATCCCTGCAGTTTCCAACAAAAGTACTAGGAGTGCCTTTAATCTATGAGAGAGTTCTCAAGTGGTCACTGGCTGTGATTTCTTATCATGGTCCCAGTAGAAAATAAAATGAGGCATCTGAAGACAAGTATCTCTGAGCTTTTGAAAATTGACTTCTCTCCATTTTAATTCTTCCACTTACCATCCACACATCAACCAGGAAATAATTATCAAGTGTCTAATATATGTCAGGCTCTCTGCCAGGCTCCGAGGATACAATGGTGAGCTAAAGAGCCATGTTCCCTGCCCTCATGGAGTCTTTTAAAGGAAATAGACATTAAGCAAATTCTCACAGAAATAAATTATTATTATAAGCTGAGCTATATGCTGTAAAGGAACAGTCAAAGATGCTATTAAAGCAACAAAAATTAAAAAATGAACAAACAATTAAACCTGAAATAGCACCAAAAATATCTAGGAATCAATTTAAGACATAAAAACCTCTATGCTGAACTCTAGAAAGTATGGCTGAGAGAAATTAAACTTCTTAGTAAATAGAGAGCTATATTATGATCATAGATTGGGTGGTTCAGTGTTGTTCCAATGTTGATGGTTTCAAATTGATCTATGAAGTCAACACAATCCCAATCAAAATTCCAGCAGGCTTGTTTGTAGAAAATAATTTATATGAACATGTAAATGACCTAGAAAAGCTAAAGCAATTTTTTTAAAAGGAGAACAAAGTTGGAGAACTTACACTATCTGATTTCGAGATTTGTTATAAAACTACAGTAATCAAAACTATATAGAAATGGTGAAAGGAAAGACATAAAGATCACTAAAGCAGAAGAAGTATTCAGGAAATAGACCAAACCAAAATCCATTCATTTTCAGTAAAGGTGCCAAGGCAACTCAACAGGGAAAGTCAAATCTGGAATTGAATAGGTAGGTAAAGATTTCTTAGGACACAAAAGCACAAACCATAAATTAGACTTTATCAAAATTCAAAATTTTTATTCTTCAGAGACAGTTAAGAAATTGAAAAGGCAGGTCATAGAGCAGGAGAAAATATTTATAATACATCTATCTAACAGATGACTAGTACTCAGAATATAATAAAGAACTCTCAAAACTCAATAGTATGAAAATAATCCAAATTTTTAAAAATGGGCAAAAGACTGGAATGGACACTCTACAAAAGAAGATACACAAAAGGCCAATTAAGTACTTAAAAAGAGGCTCAACATGAATATTCATTAGGGAAATGCAAATTAAAAACACAATGAGATGCTAATACACACTGATTAGAATGCCTAAAACTGAAGACTAACAAACACCAAGTGTTGGTGATGATGTGGAGCAACAGGAATGCTGTGGAACAACAGGGATACATTGCTGGTGGGAATAAAAATAGTACAGCCTCCTTGGGAAACTGATAGTTTCTTAAAAAGTTAAACAAAAAGTTTAACATAAAACCTACCCAATATACTCCTAGGTATTTGCCCAATAGAACTGAAAACACGTATTCACACCTAAACAACAATGTACCTAGCATCTTTGTTGACACAAGCTAAAAACAGAAGGAAAAAAATGTTTATCAACAGGCAAATAGAAAAATGAAACATAAAATATCCATGAAACAGAATACTATTCAGCAATAGAAAAGATGCCATGAGAACATGCAATAAGGGAATCTAGCTGAATCTCAGTATAAGCTACCACCATCATTTGCTACCAGGATTTCGACAGGGGCCATGACCAGCTCCATCACAGCCACGCACTGCTAGCTTGGTGGAGAAGATCTAGAGTCAGCTCTGGTCACAGTGGATTTGAGATGCCTGGAAGATATCCAATTGACAGAGTCTACTAGGTAGGTGGACACGTGGATGTGAAAGCTCACAGAAGCCCAGGATGGAGATTCAAAATCGGGAGTTATGAAGATGGTAATTACTGTTATAGAAATGGATGCAGTAGTCTAGGGAGAGTACATAGGATAAGGATAGCAAAGACACTAACACCAAGTCTTAAAGAACTTCAGTGTATAGAGAATGTAGAGGCAAATGTGAGCTAGCAAAGGAAGTTAAGATGTGACCAAAATAAAAACAGGGAAACAAAAGAGCGTAACTTTTCAGAATTCATGGAAGGAATTCAAGATGGCTATGGAAACTGTTTTGAATGCTAATAAAATAATAAGAAAATATCCACTGAATTTAGTAACATAGAGATCACTGCTAATATTAAGAACAGATCCTATGGAAAAGTAGGAATGTAACCCAGATTAGAGTAGACCGAAGGGTGACTGAGAAATGAGGAAGTGGAGAAAGTGATTATACATTTTAATAATGGGTTCAACTTCCTAGCATAACAAGCTGGGTTATAATGATGATGAGAGAAAACTGAACTTGAAGAGATTATGAAAGACACTGCTTTTGTGAAACCCCAGCCCTTGAATTCAAACCAAGAGGTTGCATGTTCTTTTCCTGTGACATAGGTGGACATTATGAACCATGAATCCAAAAGTTTCCTTTATGCCCTGGCTGGTGGGCTGAGCACCGGCCTGTGAACCAAAAGGTTGCCAGTTTGATTCCCAGTCAGGGCACATGCCTGGGTTGCAGGCCAGGTTTCTGGTTGGGGGCTTGCGAGAGGCAACTGATTGATGTTTCTCTTCCTCTCTTTCTCCCTCCCTTCCCCTCTGTCTAAAAAATAAATAAAATCTTTTTTAAAAATTTCCTTTACTGTATTACCTTCATAACTACCTTCATAACATGGAGAAGGAGATTCAGTGGGGGGCCTCCAACATAGGTTATATACAGTAGTGATATGAAAAATGCATGAGGTGGGGGGGAAATGGGGGGAATAAAAAATACAGTTCTACTCCTCAACACCTGTTTTCCAGTAAGTTTCTACTTTGCTATTAAGTCCAGATCCTCATGCATATTTATATAAAATCATAAAAACAAAATGACACAAATAAATTTGGTAGCAAGCAACAGAGAATCGTCTCTTCCTTAGTTCCCTTAGTTATCTTGGAAGTACATGTTTTGCTGAGGGAAGGAAATAAATGAAAAGATAGAATTTGGTTTTAGAAGAGAAGGGAGCTGAAGAGAAGAAAAAAACTAAATATTAAGATACCTGGACCCTGGGGTTCTAGGCCACAAAATGAATAAATAAATGGATGAATAAGTGAATGGGCAAGCAATAGGAAATAAGCATGTGCTTGAGAAAGAATGGAGATTCTGTGAGCAGGGATCAGGCCACAGATGGCAAAGACACCCATTCCTTAGGTCAAGAATCAGGACTCCTTGTTTCCTTAGGCATGTGTTTCAACAGGACTTTGAGGAGCTCTGTAGGTGGAAACAGTGAGAAAAGAGCAGGGAGGCGCAGTGGCTCGCCCAGCTCACAGAGAGAAGCACCATTCTAGTAAGAGCTGCGCAGGCACACTGGGGCCACTGAATCCTTGACACTTTCCCAAGTCAGAGAGCATGTCTGTGTCCTCAGCTTCTGGATATTTTACCAAGTGGCTCACTCCCTCTGAAGCTGTCCAATAGGCTTGAAACGTGGGGCCACTTCCACTTATGGACACCCACAAAGTGTTAAGCACTGGCCCACATGCTTTACATATGCTGTCTCACCGACTCCTCACAGCAATTATGGGATGTAAGTATTCCTGTCCTCACTTGACTGAAAAGGAAACTAAAGTTCAGAAAATTGTTATGCTCCAAAGTCACAATGAAGGGACTTGAATTGGGCCCACATGTACTTGACTGAATCCCATGCTACTTCTTCCAGAATGAGAGACAGGCTAGGAGGAACCAATCTGTTTCAACTGAGAGGGTAAAAGAAAAGTATTGGGGACAAGGGCAGGAGACATATAGAAAGGGAAAAAATGAAGATAAAAGGAAGTAGAAATTCTGTTTTCTGAGGATGAGTAGAATTACAGAAGAAATTGCCTAGAAGAGAATCTGACTTGGGAAATGGGGAAAATGCCTAGGATTAAAAAGAAGTTCAGGAACATTGTTGGGAGGTCAGAATGAAGATCTCTAGGGTGAGGAGAAAGATGCTGGCGCCTTTTCCTTCGGGTTGGAGAGGAGACAGCACTCAATTACGGACCTTCCTCTCTATGGTCACGTGACTTGTGTTGGTATAAAAGCTTTCTACCAGCCAGGTTCCTTACAATATTTTCCTGTGCGAAATGAGCGGTAGCAGTGGCTGAAGGTCTGTTCCTCTTTCCCAGAAGCTTTCAGACTTTCCAAGAAGCCATCTATCCGGAAAACGAAGACAAGGCAAGGCAGCCAGCTCAGTGCTTGCACTATGGGAAGTGATGCCAGGATTAGAATTGGAGGGGAAGGTGTCAGAGGGCTGGAGGGAGTCTGTCAGAAATTGAGTGCAAGGCTCATACCCAGTGACAGGAGCAAGTAGCGAGGGGGGTGAGCAAGGAAACGCGGCCTGGGACATCAAGCCAGGAAAGAGGATGGAGGGGCCAGACTGTGTGGGTGGTGAGGGTTACAAGCCAAGTGGAAGTCAAGTTACCCATTAAGAAAAGTTATTCTGTTTATAGTCAAAACACCAGGCTCAGGAGCCAGTGACTTCCCGTGGGCTTCTCTGAATATTCTGTAAAGCCTTTCAGAGAAGAGGCCCCTCAAAATAGTGCTGGCTCACCTTCCTCCCGCTCCCCATGCCCCCACATTTCACTAGCTTCCCTTTTAAACAGTCCCCGAGTCTGGTATTGGACAGGTGAGGGAAAGGTAGAGGAAAATCTGTGTTCTGCAAAAGGAGAGGAAGGCAAGGTAGGGAAGTGGGTTGGGGCTGGGCACCTGCTTCCGGGCCGTGGGAGGGGTCCTGTGGTGGGCCAGCAGTGGGTAGGGGACCTGGTTCTCACAGAGGAGTTCTCCTTTCTGTGCGGAAGGGTTTGCCTTTTCTCTCTGAAGATCTCCAACTGAAGAAGGGACTTAAGGAAAGTTGGAAACTGGTTAACAGTAACTTCCTGTATCTGTGAGCAGAGTAGGAGAAAGGCTGGGGAAACAGAAGGGGGAATTCCCTTGGGAAGCCAAGAGTTAGCCTCCCCCAGAGACATATGATGGCAAATGTAATAACTCCTAGTTAATATCCCGCCCCAGGCAAAGTCAATAATTGCTCTGGGCAGTTCTGGCAGGTGTGTGAGCAAGCGGTGGCAGCAGCAGCAGACGGCCTGGGCCTGGGAAGGGGAGAGTGCCAGAGAGGATGTCCTCATCCTGAACCAGAGGCAGGTCTGCAGGCTGTAAGTAGGAACTCCTGACTCAGCCCTTTCTCATTCTCTTCCAGACTGGTCATGCTAAGCTCGAAGAGCTCCTGGATCCTCGCGGCCTACACCATTATCTTCCTCACTGGTCTCCCAGCCAACCTCTTGGCCCTGCGGGCCTTCCTGGGCCGGGTCCGCCAGCCCCACCCTGCACCTGTACATATCCTCCTGCTCAGCCTGACGCTGGCAGACCTCCTCCTGTTGCTGCTGCTGCCCTTCAAGATCTTTGAGGCTGCATCTGACTTCAAATGGCTTCTGCCTGAGGTAGTCTGTGCCCTCACAGGTTTTGGCTTCTACAGCAGCATCTACTGCAGCACGTGGCTGCTGGCAGGCATCAGCATCGAGCGCTACCTGGGGGTGGCTTTCCCCGTGAGGTACAAGCTGTCCCGCCGGCCTCTGTATGGAGTGATTGCTGCTCTGGTTGCCTGGATCATGTCCTTTGGTCACTGTACCATTGTGATCATCACTCAGTACTTGAACTCAACCCAGGGCACCCAAGAGAGCTTTACCTGCTATGAGAACTTCTCCGATAAGCAGCTGGAATTTGTGCTTCCTGTGCGGCTGGAGCTCTTCCTTGTCCTTTTCTTGATCCCCATGATGGTCACCATCTTCTGCTACTGGCGCTTTGTGTGGATCATGCTCACCCAGCCCCACGTGGGGGCGCAGAGGCGGCGCCGAGCTGTGGGGCTAGCCATTGTGACACTCCTTAATTTCCTGGTGTGCTTTGGACCTTATAATGTGTCCCACTTGGTGGGGTATGTCACAAAGATGAGCCCACCATGGCGAGCGGAAGCTGTGGTGTTAAGTTCCCTCAACGCTAGTCTGGATCCCCTGCTTTTCTATTTCTCTTCTTCAGATGTGCGCAGAGCCTTTGGTAAAGGGCTTCAGATACTGCGGCATCAGGGCTCCTCTCTGCTGGGACGCAGAGGCAGAGAGACAACAGAGATGACAAACGGGGACAGGGGTGTGAGTCAAGTGGAGGGAGCACCGAGTTCTGACTTCACCACAGACTAGGGATGCTCCTGGACCTCCGGAGGCACTGGGGGCTGCGTAAGGGTTGAGTGGGCCGGGAGAGGGAGAGCATGAGGGTTCCAGGTTCAGGAATCTGCAGAGCCAATCCACTACTGGCACTGTAAAAATCCCTCTCACCTTCCCAAAAGAACACAGCTCCCTGACAAAAGGAGTAGGTGTAGAAGCATCATCAGGCCACCTTCTAGAAGCAATGTAGCTAATATGAATTCAGTCCTTGCAAGGTGGTCAGTAGCTTTGGGTGATCGGCCTGAAGCAGGGAATCCTGAAGCAATCTTGCCATAAGCTTTGAAACAACACCTGGATGCTGGTCTAGCTGTCAATGCTGGAAAGAAGCCAATGGCAAAGAGATGGTAGAGAAATACTAAATAAGGTCAAAGAAGACTCAGGAAAGTCCTGAGCCGGAGGGACTGGGAGGAGGGTCTGAGGGCTTAGGTCTCTAATGCTCTAGATTTGCACTGTATTAATCAGACCTGCTGCTTTGTAAGTATGCTCCAGCCATCTTCACGTGTGTACCTTGTCTCCCCCATTAAACTGGGAACTTCCTGAGGTCTGGGTCTTGTCTTCTCCTTCCATGGCACCCCACACAGGTCAGGATACAGCTCGGCACCCATCAGTCAGAGCTCAAAACTGACTAGCACAGGAATTGACAGCCTGGTCTGGAAGATTGAAAATAAAGATTTTAAAACTCTGCAATGAGTGTCCACAGTTTTTGTAACATTTCTACAAGCATGGTGAGGGCAAAAATGGAATGAAGAACCAGACTCAGCAGCAAAGGGGGAAGGTGAAGCATCTGAAACCACAGAAACATTCTAAAGTAAAGATGTAATGGGAGTAGATTAAGTGAGGGCACTGACATCTCTTGTTTAGATTGATGAATAAAGATTGGATTTAGAAAGATGTGGACTAAGCCCTGGGCCTGGCTCAAAGTTATCAGTGGATCACAGAGGCTTAAGCATCCTACTCTCCTGCTCAGAAACCTGCAGAGTTTTCTTGTCATCAAAAGTTTTCCTCCCAGGAACTCATATCATATCATTTCATAGCCTACTTCATATCCTCTCTCCCTTCCCAGTTCCATCTGCCTGACTCATTTCTCCACAATGAGTCAAGGAGAGTGGACTCCGAGACCACTCTCTCTACCTAGGGAACTGACCCTCCAGCCCCTCACCTAGTGGCTTGCAACAGAGGCCATACATCAGAATTACACGTACAGATATAAAAAATAACACAGGTGGCCACCCCAAATCTGCTTACCCAGGATCTCAGGGTGGATCCCCAGGTGATTATGATAGACTGCTCAGTCAGGAATCACTGGCCTGGTTATGGGGCCCAATATGTCCAAGAAATTACTCTTTGGAGAGACCATTCCTACTTAAAAGTCCCCCTCAACCCCATGCACCCCCATCTTATAATTGCTTGCTTTTTCCCTTCTTATAAAACCCCACTCAGTATTTACTTTCTCCAGAAAAACTTCCCTTATTGTTTGTACTCAACTGAGAGCTCATTTTCTCTGTTTTCCTTCCTCAAAACAACTCTGAACTGGCGTAATTAGCCCTGGCTTCAAGGTTAGTTCTGCTTACAAGCTGGCTGACCTCGAGCAAGTCACACCTCCAGCCTCCATTTCCAAATCATAATAATGAGGGTAATGTATGCCTCCCAGGGTCATTCTGAGAGGCATATACTGCATATATAAAGTTTCTAAGAAATTATAGAGTATTATTTACTTCTAAAGTAGCAACTGAAGCACAGATATACCCCTACTTGAAGAAATATAATAAGCAGAAATTTAAAATGATGAATATAAGATATCAGATAGCTAACTATATAGGATAGTTTGATAGTAATGAGTGAGGGGGAAAAAATCTGGGATTTTCAGATGTATTACACCTTCCAAAACTAATTTGATTTTGGATGGTATTAAAAGAAACAGAGTCTAAACAAGTTGATCATGTCACTTCACTGAGATCTATTCAGTGCTGAGCAACACATTTCATAAAGGATATTATCTCAGGAAATCAAAGGATAGTCACTTGGTTAATCAGAAAAATTAAGCAAAATATTCTGGAGACTTAAAACATAACAATTAGAAAATAACAACACACTAAATGCCAGGCACCATTCTAGAGAAGGATCCTAACATGATAAAGGGAACTTTCCAAGGTCAATAAGCAAGAGGGAGTTTGAATCTAGGTCTTCCTGATGCCAGAGTGCCTGCATTTTTCATTCACACATGGGCAGCAAGGAAGAGAATGCTAGATGTGTGGCTGGAACAAGTAAGTTCCATTGCATGGAAGATGCGGTCAACGCAGCCCCACAGAGAAGAACAAATGTCATGGGCAAAAGAGACAGGGAGTTATGTCTTAAGGAATCAGGGCTGTTTAAAATGAAACCAACTACCTCCACACTCCCCAGTCTCCAGGGATATCAAAGTAGAAGATAGAAAACAGCCATGTTAGGACATGGAGGAAATTCACACATCTGAGAAGGGCTGAACCAGGAACTGCCCAACTCCTTCCAACCTGAGATTCCCAGGGTTTTATGGCTGCTTCTACTAGCCAAGAAAGTGCAAGTAAATCTCTGGACTTGATCTGAGACTTTCAGGGTAAAACTTTAGCTACTCACTAACAAGTATTTGATGTTCATCAAGTCACTTGATATAGGTCCCATTTCTTCAATGGGAAATTAGTAATTCATTTGTTCAACAAATACGTATTGATTACATACTATAAGCTGGGATATATAAGGGGCCAGCTAGGGGTGCAGAAAGTATAAGTCAAGGTATCTCTCCTTAGTGCTTCTATTCTAGTGAGAAAAAATAGTTAGTAAATGAGTAAACAAATAAACAACCAAGGTAATTTCAGAATGTGGCAAATGTTTTTTTTTTACAAACAGATATGAGCTATAGGAGAAAGTATAATGAGGGGTTTGAGGAGGTTTAGAAGACTTTCCTGAGTCAATAATGTTCAGCTAAGACCTGAATGAGGCAAAGGAATTGCCATACAAAGGCCCATGGGAAGAGCATTTTAGAAATAGGAACTGCTGGGGCAAAGGCCCCGAGGAGGGAAAAATGCTTAGTATCTTGAGGCTAATGTGGAGCTAGAGCAGTGGTTTGCAAACTTAAGCATGTATTAGAATCACATGGAGAGTTTGCTGAAGCATGAATTACTGTCTTCCCTCCTCAGAGCTCCAGAATCAGTAGGTTTGGGGTAGGACCCAAGACTATTTTTAACAGTTCCAGGCGATACTGATGCTGGTGGTTCAGAGATCACGCTTTGAGAAACAACAGGCCCATATACTGTGAACTGGGGAGAATGAGAGATGGAAGATGTTAAGACTATGAGCAGAAACTAGACCATGCCAAGTATTTTAGGCCACAGATAGGAGTTTGAATTAATTCTGAGAGTCTTTGAAGTCATTAGGTGGTCTTAAGTAAGAGAGTGGAATGGTCTGATTTCCATTTTAAGATGATTATTCTGGCATCTGTGCATACCACTGAAGGGAGATGATTGTTAGGTCAAGGAGATAAAGTATGTGACAGAGTAAGAAACCATAAAGTACAATATTACAACAAACCTGCAGGGTTTTCATCAGACTGATAGCTTCCTGAACGTGGGGACTCTTTCCTCTTTCATTAGAATACAAGTTATGCATCTACTTAATAAATAGATGTCCTCAGTGGTGTGCTAGAAAAAGTTTAACAACCAGGTCTTAGAATGGGAGGGGGTGGGGAACAGGGGGGCTGGAGGTTAGGAAAGGCTCTGATTTGTTCCATTTGCTAATTTCTATGGCAGACACACTCTACCAGGGCCAGTTTCTACCAACATGAAGACACTGAACATGGGTTTGGCAAGAGATGTTAATAGTCAGCTCTTGCAAGCCAACTCAAGCACTTCACTAGATATACTCCCAGCACATATGCTCAGCTGGCAGACAGATAACATCCTACTTGAGAAAATGTTCACTCTGCCTGACTACATTTACTACAAGGCTCTGGCACAATAAACACTAGCTAAATGTGGGTGGCTGGGCCTGATTCAAGAGAATCTGGGTGGCTAGTTAGATTGCAGGACTCCTCTGAATACCCTGCAGGATGACAGATGTGTAAACAGAAATATTAGTGTCTGGTTAATGAATAACACAGACAGCAGTGTAGAGCCACTGCCAGGAAACGGAGGGGGGGCGAAGGGATCTTGCTCAGCCTGACCTAATAAAGGGGAACCTGCATTTTACTTCCTCTTTCTAGAAAAGATGTTACTGCTCCCCTTCCTCAGAAATTCTCATCTGACCACACAGCCAGAGTTCACGTGTAGTGTGGTTTTGTGGTGATCACTTCAGTCAGAGAAGGCAGGGGTGGACCAGCCTGGAGAGGATCTGAAGGAAAACACACAGCCAAGATTCCCTTCCACTCCCTTAAACCTCCCTGTCCCTTAGCTCCAAGTTTCTGTTAGTTCTCTCTGTCTCTCTCTTTTTTCCCTCAGCTTTCTTTGTCTCCTGTGGTTAGATACTTTGGCCCCATTTTTTCCTTTTCATTATTTTTCTCTAGTCACAGGAAATGAGGACATTTCACATCTACAAATTGCACATTAAACCAGGAAATTGGGCCAAAGATCTCTAAGCCCTGAGAAGCAGTAGTCCAGTAACCCACTTGGCAAAGTTTTGAATGTCTGGAAAGGTAGAAGATGAGGATTTAGTTTTCTCCAATACATAAACACATGTACCCTCCCACTCTGTATCTTCCTAATATACTTACATTATAATTGTGTTAGAATAATAATCAACGTTTACATTACTGTGACTATGTAAATGACGGGCTCCATAGTAAACTATGATTAGTTTTTCTACCCTGCACAATTTTTGACCCCACCACCTGGAAATAATAATTGCCTTATTTTTCATTTGTTTAGTTTTCTACATACATATCACTAATTCCTCCCTAAACTCTTTGCCTATTGTCTTATTTTCTTTCAAGACCTTCAGAGGTATTAGTAGGATACAGATTTCATCTTCCTAAAGAAATCTCTCCCAGAACTTTCTGACCTGCTTCTGGACTGTCAGTAGTTTATGCCAGGTATACTCAGGAGGCTTTTTACTTTGGTTTACATCCCCTACGAACTTCTTAAGAAAGCATTTCAAGACTGCATGTCAGAAAATGTCTTTATTCTGCCCTCATGTTTAATTCATATTGGGCTAGGTGTGGAATTCTAGATTGGAAACTATTGTCTTTCAGAATTTTCAAGGCTTTGTCACATTGCCTTCTAGCTTGCAGTCTTGTTGAAAATTCCCAATATATCTGACTTTTGACTCCTTGTATGTGGCCTATATTTTCCTCACTGAAAGCTTGAAGGGTCATTATTTTTCTCGCAAGTATTCTAAAATTTCATCCATTGTGCCAGGTACTTGATGAACTCTCAATCTGCAAAATAGTATCCTTCAGTTTGGGCAAATTCTCTTAAAACATTCTGTAATTGTTCTCTTCCCTTCATTTTCTCCCTTCTCCTTTTATAGAACTTCTATTATTTGCAGGATATTGGACATTCTTGACTGGCCCACTAATTTTCCCTTCTCTCCTATTTTCCATCTCTCAATCCTTTTTGCTCTTCCTTTTGTGAGATTTCCTC